AAAAGAAACCTGTGTTGTAGGTATGATAACACTTAAAAACTATAATTGCAGCATTTATATGAATTTCTTTACATTTTTTCATTTTAATTCTATTTTTTAATTTTAGTTTCAAAGTACAATTCTGCATCCTACGTATATAAGATGACTATGTTTTCATTTAGAAGATGATAAGACTTCTAAATGATTAAGATTATGACCTTCAGTTTTGTGATACATTTTAAGTGAGCAAGAATCTGTGAAGGGTTTCAAAAAAAGACAAATTTTTTTCCCGCTTGCTAAAAACTTGTAAGAACGTTGAAGTAAAAAAATAGATTGACTGCAAAATTACTCCGGGTCTCTTGGTAAAAGCTTTCCTACTGTCAAGTGATTAAGGACAGAGTACTGTTGTAGAAATGTCCCAAAGCTCAGTGTAGGTAGTCACTACTTTGGGCCCCCTGTCACCCGGGTGATAATACTCCGTGCCACCACGGCCCCCTCCTTTCCCCCTCGATTCCCTTGGCTCCTCTCACTCCAGCACAGCATTCCAGCGCGCTCCGTGCCCAGCCTGCCTAACCAGGTCACCTGAGGCAGGGCTAAAGCGGGGGTAAGCCAGATCCCAGACTTGGAATGAAAGGGCCACTGTTCTCTCGCTCAGAAACAAAGTTTGAACCCTGATTGATGTTCTCCATTGTCTGCCCTGTGCCCAGGAAGAGCTGTAACAAGCAGACCTGGAATAATAGTGATCCTTCTCACTCTATTTGAGGGCTCACAGAGGAACACCAGACTGGCGTTTCAGGAAGTATCTAATGTCTTAGCAAGGCTGAACAACATCAGTTCCTCCTACATGACAAACTAAACTTTTACAGAGGGAGTTGATTCCATTGGAACAGCATAAACGGCTATGAGCTTAATGTTGTGGTGGATGTAAATACTAGATTATGCTCAAGGTTGCTTAATAGCATTCTTGTTTTTAGAATGCATATTATTAGCTAACTGCATTGTGAACTAATACATGGTTAATAAAATACATGTAAACATATTACATTTAATATTAATTAATAAATTAATAAAAAATTAATGTGAATACATAGCATTTAATTTTATGTTTAATGTTAATCATTTATCAAAAACAATAATTTATCAGTCATTGTTGCCTAGAACTACTTTAGCTCTGCGTTTCCTGAAAAATAAATGTACACCTTAGAACATTCATCAACAATCAGAATCAAACATTCAACAGCCCCGTAATATGTGACCCTGGAGCACAAAACCAGTCTTAAGTCGCTGGGGTATATTTGTAGCAATAGCCAACAATACATTGTATGGGTCAAAATTATTGATTTTTCTTTTATGCCAAAAATCATTACGATATTAAGTAAAGATCATGTTCCATGAAGATATTTTGTAAATTTCCTACCGTAAATAAATCAAAACGTAATTTTTGATTAGTAATATGCATTGCTAAGAACTTAATTTGAACAACTTTAAAGGGGTTTTTCCTCAATATTTTGATGTTTTTGCACCCTCAGATTCCAGATTTTCTAATAGTTGTATCTCAGCCAAATATACTGACAAAACATACATCAATGGAAAGCTTATTTATTCAGCTTTCAGGTTATGTATAAGTCTCAATTTTGAAAAATTGACACTTGAGACTGGTTTTGTGGTCCAGGGTCACATATTAATTATTCTCATATTGAGGCATTTGGTCATTATGTTCCGTTTCTCTAGAAAACCAACACATGGAAGAACGAATAATCAGAAATTGAGCTGGTTGACTGCATGGAAAGCGGAGTTGAAGTCAGGGAAAAGTTAATGAAGATGGGTGCAGGAATAGGTGTGAAATGATTTCTGGTTTGTCGAATGCAGTGCAGAACCAGGTTTACCGCATTTTATCAGACCTGCTTGGCAAACTATATCCGTAACTAAACAATCGCATGTTTCCACTCATGATCTTAATTTAACATTTAAAAGTTTAAAACATTTCATTAATAAATTGTCTAGATGAACTTTTAAAGCAGAAATGCATCAAATTCTGTGAAAAGTCCATGCAACCATATAGATGGAGATTTTGGACTAAGCCGAGTTGTCTGTGGTCAGGGCCAAAAATGGAAACCAAGCGAAGGACAAAACGTCATTATCGCTATTTAGAAGTGAAAGGTTAAGGAAGATCTGATGCAATTTATTTCTAGTTGCATAGCACCACTTCTAGTCACACAGGATTTCTTACAGTGGGGAATTGTGTTAGTTAGAAGTAATACTTCATAGAAAAAATACAGCCACACAAAGATATGTACGAATTCTTAACTTTATTACCATTTTGAATATAAATTCCTGCAGTCCACAATAGAAAATGCAGAGTGTATACATTGAAAAGACTGATCCCAAACCAGTTGTGTGCACGGGCGCATAAAACCAAGACATCAGTATTGAAGGGGCATGTTAAAAACCACTGCGTCAAACAGCCATAGTACCATCATGATCTACTAAACAGGGGCTCAGGGCTAAGCAACTAGCAGGATGTAGTTTATTATAAAGAGAACGCACTGAAAAAAAATGCTGGTTTGTTTCAACCCAACTTTGGGTCAGATATGGACTAACCCAACCGTTGGGTTACATTTTTAACCCAAAAGTTGGGTTAGTCCATATTTGACCCAAATTTGGGTTGAAACAACCCAGCATTTTTTAGAGTGAAAGAGAAAAAGAAAAAAGCCCTAACCTTCAGGTGCCACACCAAATCATTTTGTCCATGATATATCAAATCAAAAAGTCAATTCAGTGCACCAAACGAGTATGTACAGAAAAATAAACTAAAAACACACAAACCTATATCTCTACCACAGTCTGTGAATATGTTTTGCATCTCTCTGACTCAATGCAGTCATGCCTGTGGTGTGTCCAGACGTTTACATATGAAAAAAAAACAAGTTTCTGTTCATTGATGCACACTGCTGTAAGCGAAATTAGTTTAAAACGAAACAAAAACCCACACCGGAGACGGCTGTAAATGGATCAGAAACAAACACGCTTGCCAAAGGCTGCACTGAGACCAGTTGAACATCGTCAGGAAAGAGAAGAGTAATCCATCATAGGCTGTTGTAAAGTGAGGTATGAACGTGACGGTCAAGTCCAGAGTAGAACTGACCTGGTTGCAGTATTCCGGGTTTAATTAACCATGTTTGTAGCAGCATTAAGTTCTGAGAGGAGACCCAGTCACTGGACCGATCAGCGTTCCCTGACATGGAATTTAACACGTCAAAAAAAGAAAGAAAAAGAAAAAACCCATGAAGAAAACGAAACACGAACCTAAAACACATCAAGTGAAAGTCGTCTGAGTGGACTGTAATGGGACAGAAGAAGTGACACGGCTGGGAAGTTCACAAAGAATTTGCGAGCAAATGGAATGATTCGCATTTTCTAGTTAAAAAAAAAAAAAAAAAAGATTAAATGTTTGCGTGTAATTCACAGGTTTGGGGCCGATACAATTAAAAGCACTGCTGGTGTCTAATCATTTGCGGTGCCTTTTTGGAGCAAGGATCAGTTGGTGGTAAAACATTTAATCATTTCCGCAATTAAAACCAATCGTCCTCCATAACATTTCGTACAGGCCAGACGAGCAAACTGTTCCTTAGCACATCCAGGAAACTGAACTACACTGAGAACAGACTTAAACAGACTACTTAGCTTTCGCGTGCCAGTAAATTTAATCGCGGGAATCAGCGAAATCATGATGGTGGCAAGTCGGCGGAGGGCATTATTAAAAAAAAAAAAATGAAACAAGAGGAAGTCAAAAATGTTTCACGACAAAGCATTCAATGATGTTGATTACAAGTTAAAAGTCCTCTAGGTTAAGCGCACAAAAAAATACGCTCATTTTATTTCTAGCTCGAATCACGGAGTAGCTAAAAGAGTTTAACTGGAGACATCGAGTTACCACACACACACGCACACACAACCCAAGTAAAAACAACGAGTAGGTCAATTCACCTTTGTCCAGTACACAACGACATGAATTTCACACAACCTACCATATTTTAGATTTAGACGTGTAAAAATAAACTTGAATTCTCAAGGCCTGAAACGGTTGCTTGCGAAAGAAGAGAAAACTTCAGTATTTTGCAAATCGCTTTGTGTCAAGCCGCCATCAGAGCATATCTTTGTCCAGTATAATGACAGACACTTTCGACCAATTAGCCATTGAGTGCGAGACATACACGTGTGCATGCATCCATGAATGGACATACAGTATTTTGAGTCTTTTTCCAGTGGTGTTACACAGAGAAGGCACATGAAGTGTGCAAGCCTCCCTGACGCTAGGGGGCGCTAGAGCGTAAAGGTGAATTGGAGGGTGAGGGTGGCACTAGTGTAAGAGGAGGAATGGGGAGGGTCAGTCCAGCTCTGGTCAACAGGAAGAAATAACGTTGGATTGTGAGGTAGCACGAGTTGCTAGTTACTGTTCCTCTTCCTCCTCCTCTTCTTCTTCCTCAGAGGACTTAGATGGCTGCTCCTCCTTCTCCTGAAGAGACAGACGGCAACAAACGGTCAGACGAAGAAGTGACATTTGCATTATTGCATGCAAAATAAAACCAAATGCAACGGACCTTTAAATTGGGTTAGACACCATGTTGAATTTAACAGACGTGCAGTTTTTACAATGGCACGCACTGTATAAAGGTTCTAGATAATGTCATTTTTACAACTTTCAAAGCTGTATTACAGACTTTTTGCTTGCTTAGTTTTTCAGAAAGAGATAGTCACTGAACAACCTGTATATTAAACACTACAACCTACTGAAAGCACTGTACTTCAGTCCCTCACAGTTTCAATTTCATTCTTGTCAATTATTAAATATGGCCCTATCCTGACTATAGGCATCATTTGTATTTGTGCAAGCATTTTCTTTCATTTTTGGGGTCAAGTGGGACAATGCAGTCTATTATCTCAAATCTGAAAGAATAAAAGGTTAAAATGATAAACATGATCGGAGAGTCACCGACTTGCTCACTCATAACTTGCACCATTAACGTACAACAATCCACTAGGTAACTATGGGTTCACAGTGACACTGATGCCAACAATTTGTGGAAATACTTAAAGCAGACATGCGAAAACACTCCTCTTAAAGGGATAGTTCACCCAAAAATGAAAATTCTGTCAATTATTCACCCCCAAGACCTTCATTCATCTTCGGAACCCAAATTAAGATATTCTTGATGAACTCCGAGATCTCTCTGACCCTTCATAGACAGCAAGGGAACTACCACTAGTGCCGTGTTCAAAATATCGATACGACGATGTATCGTCACAGAGATTTGACGATACGAGTATCGATACAGCTGGCCCTGTATCGATATTGTGGCACGTGTGCAGCAGTGGACCGCGCTTAACTTGTATAAAATTTTACAACGTTTAAAATGGAGTAGAAAAGTGCGAGGTTTCTAAAAAAAAGAATGAATAGAGCATATATAGGCTACAACAAGGTTTAATCTGGCCGCAGAGGAACACAACTGAGTTGCCTGATATAAAGAGATGTAATCCCCAAAACAGAGCTTCACACTTGCGCAATACGGAAATATCTGCTAAGTGTGCTACTTATCTTTGTCAACCTGGCAACCATGTGCACACGCGCTCTCTCTCCACTGCGGATAAACGCGCTTGCTTTCTGAAAACACCGCTTAGCTTGCAGTTTAGCGATCTCCACTTCAATACTCTATTCTCAGAAAAGTGTAATTCATCAACAGTTCATTCAAGAAACAGAGAGAGAGAGAGAGAGA